CAGCTAATCTTAACGGCACAGGTAATGATTTAGCAAATGCGCTCTTGGGTAATGCTGGTCGTAATATACTGACAGGTGGTCTCGGAAATGACAGCTTGGATGGTGGTGCGGGAGCAGATACTCTCATTGGTGGTTTAGGAAATGATACTTACTTCGTTGACAACGTTGGTGATGTCATTACTGAGTTGGCTAATGAAGGTACTGACCGAGTCTTTGCAAGTGTAAATTATACTTTGGCTGCAAATATCGAAAATCTGATCTTATTTGGTACTGGCAACATTAATGGTACGGGTAATGATCTTGCAAATAATTTGCTAGGAAACTCTGGTAGTAACACTCTCATCGGTGGTTTGGGTGATGATACTCTAGATGGTGGTGCTGGAGCAGATACTTTAGTTGGTGGACTCGGTAACGATACCTACTTTGTTGATCATGTAGGTGATGTGGTAACAGAGCTTGCTGGTGAAGGAACTGACCGAGTTTATTCAAGTGTAAGTTATACATTAAACACGAATGTTGAAAATCTGATTTTGAGTGGCACTTCAGCTATCAATGGAACAGGTAACGATCTTGCAAATACGCTACTAGGAAATAGTGGTAGTAACGTTCTAGATGGTAAAGCGGGTAATGATACTTATACTGCAGGTGCAGGTTCTGATACCGTTATCTTCAATCTATTATCAAATAATGCAACTGGGGGTAATGATTCAGACACTTGGACAGATTTTGAAGTCGGATTAAATGCTGACAAGATTGATGTAAGTAGTTTGTTGATTGGTTTTAATGGCAGTGAAGATTTGACAACGGTAGATCAATTCTTATCTGTTGTGGATACTGGTACTGATATAAAAATTCTTCTAGATCGAGATGGTAGTGGAGGAAGTTATAGTGACACTCTATTATTAACATTGAAGAATGTTGATGTTAGTTTACAAGCATTGTTAGATAATCATCAGTTATTACTAAATATGGCATAAAAAAATATTTTATATAATAAACGAGGTTGATTTTTTGAAATTCCCCTTATATAAAACCCATGTCATAGGCATGGGTTTTTACTGTTTGGTAAATTATTTTAATTTTTAAATTGGTTTATTTTTACTTTTATTTGTTATTGATTTTTTTGTGATTTAATTTTTTATTTGTTAAAAATACTTTACTAGGGTATTAAGATATTTATTATAAAGAATGTTCTGTATATTTTAATTTTATTAATTTTAATTTAAATTTATTAATGCTAATAAGAATATTTGAATTAAAGTTATTGAAATATAATAATAAATTTTGTTTTACATATCGTAACAATTAGTTTGTTTTTTGTTATTTTCCCTCAATTTTGTTTTTATAATGTGATGTAAAATAAGTTTAATGCAAATAAGTGTGATTTATTTGTGTTTAATATGGAAAATAAGCTTTTAAGTGAAAATTAATACTATTTTTTATTAAAGGCGTCGCTGTAAATACTGTGTTTTGGAAACTGTTTAATAAAATTTAACTTAAAATGGATTGTATAAGGGGAATATCATGCCAATTAATCTAGCCAGTTATGCACTGAGTGGTGCAAAAATAGCATTTTTTGATAATGGTTCATTTGTGGACACTGCTGGGGGGACAGGCGCAGAGTCTGATAACCTACAAGCAACACTAAGTTCACAGGGACATATTGTTTCAACCTTTACCGATTATAGTGCAACAGGTTTGACAACAGCTTTAAGCGGAAAACAAGTCTTGGTAATTCCTGAGTTAGAAGTAGGTTCCTTGGGTTCTGCTTTGACTACTCAAGCGAAAGACGTAATTCGAGATTTTATTAGTGATGGTGGTAGTCTTATCATTGGAGGTTCGAGTGGTTCAAATGATACTTTGCTACTTAATGATTTGTTCGGATTCTCTCTGACAGGTAATAATGCAAATACTGTGACCAATCGCACAGGTACAGCAACAGGAACGACGTTCGCTGATGATCCCACATCATTGCCTTGGAATGATGGAACCTATTCATTGAATACCAGCTCACTCCCAGCTGGTTCAAAAAGTGTTTTTGAGGCTAGTGGCGTTACTTCTGTAGCGGTCATGCCTTATGGTGCTGGTCAAATTAGTTATATTGGCTACGATTGGTATAACGCTGCACCAGTAGGTACTCAAAATGGTGGTTGGCTACAAGTTATGTCCAGTGCAGTTAGCACAACTAATGCTGTGCATGTCACTGATAGTAGTTCTACTGGAACTGAAGATACTGCTTCGATTTCAGGATCAGTAAGTGGTACTACTCCTAATGGAGGTACTTTGACTTATAGCCTTATTGGTACTGCTCCAACAGGTTTAATCTTCAATAGCAACGGTACGTATACATTAACACCACAAGCCGCTGACCAAGGTCTGGATAGTGGTGAAAGCCGTGTTGTGACTTTCCAATATCAAGCAAATGATGGTACAGCAGATTCCAATATAGCTACGGTTACCGTGACGATAAATGGTGTCAATGATGCACCTGTTGTGCCAGTTACAGTAATTACCACGTTGACTTTTGAAAGTGTCGATATAGCTAACCTCTATCCAGATACATATGCTGGGATTGGTGATACCTATAGCAAAGATGGTTATGTTTTGACATTAGGTGCTGGGCAGCACTTTGATAGTGCTGATGCAAATGGTCTATTTTTTCATAATGGTTCTGCCAATTCGAACTATGATGCGATTGCAACATTAACTTATAACGGTGGTGCATTATTTGATTTAGATGGATTTACTCTGAAGTTGGGTTATGCGGCAGAAGTTCGCACGAGTTTAAATCCTGGCACCGTATTAACATTTCCTGCTGGTGTAAATACAGTTAACTTCCAAGGTGTGACATGGATTGAATTCAGTCCGATTGGAAATGGCAGCGCTGATGGTAATCAGATTTACCTTGATGATGTTATTGTGCGCCACACGACGATAACAGTAACAGGCAGTGAAGATGATAGTGCAATTACTGGTGTCGCACCTGCGACAGATGTAGATGTAGAGCCGCTTACATTTAGTTTGGTTGGTACTGCCCCAACAGGTTTAACCTTTAACAGTGACGGCACATTCAGTGTCGCACCACAAGCTGCTGACCAAGCGTTAGATGATGGTGAAAGCCGTGTTGTAACCTTTCAATATATTGCAAATGACGGCACAGCCAATTCAAATGTAGCGACTGTTAATGTCATTATTAATGGTTTAAATGATGCACCTGTTGCAGTTGATGGTACTGCATCAGGTAGTGAAGATGCATCGATTACAGGTACTGTCGCAGCAACAGATGTTGATGTTGAACCACTGACCTATAGTTTGGTTGGAACTGCACCAACAGGTTTGACCTTTAATAGTGATGGTACATTTAGTCTTGCTCCACAAACTGCCGATCAAGGATTGGATGATGGTGAAAGCCGAGTTGTAACTTTCCAATACCTTGCGAATGATGGAACAGTTGACTCGAATGTATCTAC